GGGAGGGAGGGAGGGAGGGAGGGAGGGAAAAAAGGAAAGGAAATTACTGGTCCACTGAAAGGAACACTTAATGCTTACTTTTTGTCTTCTTAATCTTTCTTTTTTTTTTTTTGGACCAATTTCACATGCTTATACCTGGTTATCTGAACAACTAATTTGAAGAAAACAATATGCAACATAACAACTATTGTTGAATTCCTATCATTTTGTTTAGTGAAACTATCATTCCTAACAAGTTTCTCTTTTTACTATTTTTATTCTCTTTAAAAAATAAAAAAGACTTAAAAAAATGGAAACACAATCTAAAAGGAAAAAAAAAAAAAAAAAAAAAAAAAGGTTTGGGGCTGGCCAGATAGCTCAGCAGATTAAAGTACCTGCTTAAGCAGGCACAGGGATGACGTTCAATCCTCGGTGTGCCATGCCGGCCCCATCCCAGGGGCACCTGAGACAGAGATTAAGACGGGATTGAGACTGGGCATGGTGGGTCATGCCTGTAATCTCAGCACTTGGGAGGCTGAAAACAGGGGGATCAGAGTCCAAGCTGTATAGTAAGATCCTATAGACCCTGTACTAAATATAAAAATAAAATAAGATTTGCCACGTTAAAGTTAGGCAATGGGTACAAGGAGAGTCAATTACTATCCTCTCTTCTGTCTAGGCTGAAAATTTTTCTATAATGAAAGGAAGGAGCCCTTTTCATTCTCTGAACTTCAGTCCCCTTGGGACAGGTAGAAATAAACTCATCAGGGAGACTAAACTAAATATGAAAAATTTTCAAAGAAATATGGATGAATAAAACAAAAGAAGAAATCACAGAAGAGCAGTGTTCAATGAACCAGGTGGTCTCTTATTTTAGCAAGAATATAAAATACAATCAGATGTGGAGATAAATTATAGTTAGGATAAGAAATGGCAAGATCAGACATGACTGCTGACCAGTTTAAATAAATGGTAGAAACAGCCCAGCCCACGGTTATAGTTGGGAGTTTGAACAACATAGGGAGATTACACCTCAAAAAACAATGTATGAGGGGCCAGGGAGACGGCTCAGTAGAATAAGCACTTTCCTGGCAAGCGCAAGGGTCTGAGTTCAATCCCTGGCTCCGGGGAAAAAAAAAAAAAGCATGAATAAATGAAAAAACAAGTGTGTGATTTAAGACTTCACGTCTATAACTTACTGGTTACATACTATTTCAAGTCAACTACTCTTAAGGCCAGAAGGCTCAAATCAGACAGATTCTCCCAACCTCTAACCTACTTGTCAATAGAGGCACTGCTCTCAACAGGGAACTCAGCTCAGCACCAAGGCTATCACCAGCCAGCACAGGTTACTATGAAGCAGATAAGACTGGACAAGGAATTTTGCAGGTCCCAGGATATCTGAAGACACCTGAGGATTTACATAAGACACTTCAAGGTCTCTGCCCACTGAGATGCAAGACTGCCAGAGTTTTGACCTTACATATTTATTAACATCTTCCCACCTAAGAGAAACTAGGATGGGAGGATGGAGAAAAGAAGGGAGAAGCAAAAAACAAAAAAAAAAGATCTTCCATCTAACATCCCTTGACCACTTGCTTTGTTTCCCACAGTCGGCTTTTCTGCTCTGTCTGCCTGCACCCAGGTACAATAAATTACATGCCACGTTGCCTTTACACAAGCCTGGTGGTCTCAGCTGGTCCCTGGCTCTCAAGTTCCTTACAAGGACCGATACTGTGAACTGCAAATTGCACATGTACTTCATACTCAACTTTCACAGGTGAACACACTCTAACAGGCTTAAAGTAAAATGTAAATACAAGAATTACACTGGGTATAATCTGAATATAGATTTATGAAATTTTCTAGTCATCTACTTAAATAACTTAAAATCATCATAACCACCATATAATCATCAAAATCATCATACAATCCAGGTAAAATCTGTAGTATTTATACAGAAACCAAAGAATGTAATAAAATTCTCAATTTCTCAGTGGTTACATTTAATTATTTTAGCAAATTCCCATTCTCTGTAGTTAGTCTCTTAGTACTACATATTTCAGGTTTTGCTCCAAAGCATCTATCATAGTGACAGCAAACCTTTCAGAGACCAAGTCCCCAAACTGCAACCCCAAAACTCCCATAGCACAAAGTGCCAACTGTGCAATTACCTGAAAACTGAGGTTTTTGTTTAGCAAAAATAACTGTTATCTGATGCTCAGCTGTGGGGTGCCCCCTGTAGTTTGCATGTGACAGGTTCACCACCACTGATCCATCTTCTCAACTCCTCTAAGCTATTTTTAACTCCAAAGTAGTCATATAAATAGCACTATATAAGCCAGTTAGGTGGTTTTTTTTTTTTTAAACAGGGTCTTGCTGTGTAGTTTAGGGAGGCCTTGAGTTCACTATGTGGCCCAGGCTGGCCTCAACTCACAGCAATTCTCCTGCCTCAGCCTCCCAAGTGCTAGGATTACAGGCATGCACCACCATATTCAGATGATTCACCACTTTTCATTAGTAAATAACGATACTTTCTAGTCATCATGGTAATACACACCTGTAATCCCACCACTGAGAAGGCTGTGACAGGAGGATGCCTGAGTTTGAGGCCAGCCTGGGCTACATAGTGAGGTAGTTCAAGGCCAGCCTGAACTACTTAGTGAGACCCTGTCTCAAAAAAAGCCCCAAAAAGGTGATGATAATTTCTACACTATGCCAAGTTAAATCTGACTGGATCAACCATGAGAATTTTCATCAGCCATCAACCGTAAGGACATTATATTCTAACCTAAATATCTAATAAATCAAAATTGAAAGCCACAGAATTATTTAATCCCCACTCACAACAAAAAATGAGGCAGTAATCAATTCCATATGCTGTCTATTTTGGAACAATAATTTTGTAATTATATCTGTAATTATTACTTCTAAACAGTTACAGGAAGTTTTAAAGTAAATTACTCTCTCACAAAGATAATTCGGAGAACTATAATAACTAATACAGGACTATTATACATTTTAAATTTTCATTA